CTCTCTCTCAAAAATAAATAAACATTAAGAAATGTTTTTAAAAATTGGGAAAACAGTAAGACTTAAGGGTTCTCGTGTCTTCCACCCCACCTGAACACACACACACACACACACACACACACACACACACACACACAGTGTCCCTCATTTAATGTGATGACAAGAAGTTGCCACTCTGAATGACTGGAGAGATGAAGTAAAAAAGGGAAATCCTTGAGAGGACCTGAAAAGCCAAGCCAGATTCACTAAATTTGCTCTTCTCTTAAAAAAAAAAAAAAAAAGTGTATCAACCTTTCCTAATTTTAACACTCACATTTATTAATTCATTCCGCATATAGCGATTTGAGCACCTAGTAGGCGGTAGGTACGTTTCCAGGTGGTCGGATCCAGGGGAGAGCAAAGACGGAGTTCTCATTCTCGTGGAGCTTACACTCCACGGTGGAGACAGATTTTTGATCGAAGGAGCACACAGAAAAATAGATTACAACAGTGACTTGGGTGTGTGGAGCTTCCGGTGTCTAACAGAGGGTTTCATCAGAGAGTTGTTGACTGACGGAACCCCAAAAAAGGACAGGACTTGATTATTAGCTTTAGATGTTGCTATAGATTTTTTAAAAAGATCTTTAAGTAATCTCTGCCCCCAACGTGGGGCTTGAACCCACAACCTGGAGGTCAGGAGTCACACGCTCTACCAACTGAGCCAGCCAGGAACCCTTATAGGTGGCTTTTTTGTAGACCTCAGGTGTAGAGAGCTGTCATCATCCCCTTCGGTTCATGGTATATTATCATTGCCTGACCGGAGGACCTTCTCTTACCGCCTTTGATCTCTAATTCCCATTTTGTTCCCCCCATAAGGGGGTAATGATGAATTTATGAGATAGCTGATGGTTGGGATTTCGTCACATGGGAATGATGAAAAGATACTCGGTCAAGTTAAAGGACACTGGACAGGTTATGCCTGGAGGTTGGATGAGAGGGGAAGAAGGAAGTGGCTTGGGGGGGAAGGTTATTGAGGTGGAGGTCCTGATGATGTGAAGATCTCAGAGTACCGAAGATGACGAAACAAGAGAGCTGAGGGGCACCTGGGTGGCTCAGTCAGCTAAGCGTCCGACTTCGGCTCAGGTCACGATCTCACAGTTCGTGGGTTTGAGCCCCAAGTTGGGCTCTGTGCTGACAGCTCCCAGCCTGCTTGGGGATTCTCTCTCCCTCTCTCTCTCTCTCTGCCCCTCCCCAGCTTGCTCTCTCTCTCTCTCTCTCAAAATAAATAAACATTAAAAAAATTAAAAACAAAACAAAGAAACAAGATGCGAGGAAGGGAGGCTGTGGTCAGAGGCAGGGAGCTTGAATAAGCAAGAGTGGAACCAGTGTGGCAGATCTGGGTGATGATGAAACCCAAGGTTGGCCAAGGCGGAATGGACCAAGTCATTGGAGAAAGGTCCGGAGTGTTAAATGGTCATCGACATGAATCCAGAATAACCGAAGGGATTGGGGTGGACGGCAAGATGTGACCCAGGAACCAATGCCCTTGAAGGATGAGGGGGAATTAGGAAGGGTTGCATAGGATAAGGTTTGGCTACAAGTGTTAGAAAACAACCAAATATGGCTAAACAAGACAGGAGCATGACATCTAGGGCTTGAAGCACCCTAGTGGCTCAGTCGGTCAAGCATCTGACTCTTGGTTTCAGCTCACAATTCGTGAGTTCGAGCCATGCATCTGGCTCTCTGCTGTCAGCCCAGAGCTTGCTTCGGATCATTTGTCTCTCTCTCTCTCTCTCTCTCTCTGCCCCTCCCCTGCTCTCTCTCTCAAATAAATAAACTTGAAAAAAAAAAAAAAAAAAGACATCCAGGGCTCACATGTAGTCTTCAGTGTCGAGACCCAGTCTCCTATCTTGTTATTCTGCTCCACGTGATGCCAATTCCAAAAGCTACCTCATGGTCCAATGTGGTGCTGGGTGCTGGAGTTCCGGCCATCACACCTTTGACCTAGACATCAGGAAGCAAGGATAGCTGAAGAGAAGCGTATACCCTTCCTTTAAGAACACTTGGAAGTCGTATGCACGGTTTTCTCTCTCATTGGTCAGATGAGAGGTCACAACCCCTGCTAAAATACTCAGGGGTTCTATTTCTAGAAGGGGAACCAGACATTGGGGAACAAGTGACTGTCTCTTCCGGAGTGATGGGAAACCAGAAGAACCCAAAGTAGGGAGTGAAGGTGACATAAAAGGATGGCATGATGGGGCACCTGGGTGGCGCAGTCGGTTAAGCGTCCGACTTCAGCCAGGTCACGATCTCGCGGTCCGTGAGTTCGAGCCCCGCGTCGGGCTCTGGGCTGATGGCTCGGAGCCTGGAGCCTGTTTCCGATTCTGTGTCTCCCTCTCTCTCTCTGCCCCTCCCCCGTTCATGCTCTGTCTCTCTCTGTCCCAAAAATAAATAAACGTTGAAAAAAAAAATTAAAAAAAAAAAAAAAGATGGCATGAGCCTAAAATGGGGCAAGGTGTTCTTCAAAGGGGGTGGAGAACAATCCAGAAGGGGTACAGGGAGGACCCAGCTCCAGCTCTCTGGGAGGCGTGTGAAGTCTGAGAATGGAAGCCACCACTTGGAAGCGGTATGGAGTGGATTCTGGAGTAGCCCATTTCCCGTGGAGAGAACGAGGGGCAGAGAACAGGTAGTCTCCTGGAGTTTGCTAGAAGATCTTTGCAAAGGGGGTGGGCAGGGTCAGGAGCCGGGTCAAGGACCAGCGAAGACCGGGCTGAGAAGCCGCAGGGACTCCGTCTCAGCAGTGGCCAAGGGTGGGTCTTGCTTGGCCAGGGTGATCCAAACCGAAACCTATCTACAGATGCACAAATTTCTCTGCCACAGCCAGTCACAAACCACCCTTCTTTTGCATCAAGTGCTAAGTAAACCTGACATCTAAGTTTTGGTATCGGCTCCCAAATTGTGCATTTGAGATCATCTATAAATGTAAAAAACATTGTTGGAAAAAAATCTCTCTCAAAAATAAACTTAAAAAAAAAAATCAACCAAATTACATTTGAAGATCTAATTGGCCTTATGAGATGATTCATGAATCCAGGAGCAGCCCATCTAGCGAGTAGAGGGGGCCCCCCCAGGAGCCATACAAATGGAAGGAGGGTGGGAGGCAAGAAAGTGATGTGAAAGAAATGGATTGTTCCCGGCAAGGGCGAGGATACTTTCCCTTACAGGGAAGAACAGGGGCCTTATCACGCAGACAATGGCTTCCTTTGAATATGGAGGCCCATGTGGCCAACTCACTGGCACCCATCAGAAATTACTGACCGGCTAAGACTACATTTTGCGGGAGGTCGACAATGCAATGAGATTAAGTTTTGAGCCCCCTTTTGGGGACTAGGTCTAAGCAATGTCATTTGGGGCCTACTGTTTCCATGTGTATGCATATGTATACGTATATGTATACGTACATGTATATATGTATGTGTATATGTATATGTGTATATGCATATCTATGGTTCTTATAGTTTCCCACGATCAGGGAGACATGAGCAAAAGCCAAAAATGACCCTTACTAGTCCCACCCCCTCCCGCCGCTCAGGGTAGGTCAGTTTGCAAAGCAATAAGAAAAAGACCTGAAATGCTTATTGTCTTCAGAGCCGTAATTTAAAATTGTTTCATTAGTCAGTCTCTTCCTTTTATTATTTTTTTGACCTTTTGCTTTTTAGTTTTGAGAGGGAGAGACAGCGTGAGTGGGGGAGGGGCAGAGAGAGGGAGGGAGACACAGAATCCAAAGCAGGCTCCAGGCTCTGAGCTGTCAGCACAGAGCCCGACAGGGGGCTCAAACCCATGAACCTCAAGATCAGGACCTGAGCCGAAGTTCCACGCTTAACTGAGCCACCCAGGTGCCCCGTCTCTTCTTTTATTCTGAAAGAAAGAGGACAAATGGAGAAGGGGCGGGGGGGGGGGGGGCGGGGGGGAAGAATCCCAAGCAGGCGCCACACTGTCAGCATGGAGCCCGATTCGGGGGCTTGAACGCAGGAACCGTGAGATCATGATCTGAGTTGAAATCAACCGCCCAGGCGCCCCTTGGTGAATGAAATTTCCTGAATAAAGCTGTTGAACTCTCCAGGGGGCAAACGCATTCCAGTTGCACAAGTCCTGGGGAAGTGACCTCTGCACACAGTCACAGTCTTGTAAGCAGAGGAGGCGATGGACGGCTGTCAGCATTACTCTGGGTCCCGCCGCCTCCGGCGTGACTGCAGGAAGGCTGCAGCAGCTGTAGGCCGAGCCTTGCCTCCCGGCTCGCCCGTAGATGTGTGTCCCCAGGCTATTTAACCTTAATTCTACCTTTGAGGAAAAAAAAACCAAAAACAAAAGAACAAAGAGGGTAGCCTCTCAAGTATCTTGATGAATTCTCGTGAGACATAATTTAGATACACTTAAAATGCCAAACACACGCTTAGTTCCTGGTATACTCTTTATACTTTATTTTTGAGAGGCTCTGGGCTCCAGTAGAGCCCGACTAGGGATTCCAACTCACAAACTGTGAGATCCTGACCTGAGGCAAAACCAAGCCGACTGAGCCACCCAAGTGCCCCTATAGCTGTGATTTTAAATTCTATTCACACCAGAAGACCCTTGGGAGCAGTGACCATGTTCGGCCCTGTACCTAATCACCAAACATTAATGGAATGAATGACCGAATGACTGGATACTGAAGGCTCAATCCTAGGGAAGCAGGTGCTGCCCGTTTCTGCCAGGAAGGGGTCTGCTAAATCTAGAAGCAAATGCTGAGTTCAGAGGCCCGCACTGGGGCAGCCCTACCCCACAGCTGGATACTGGTTTTGCAGAAACCTCTGCAAACAATTGCTTGCACCACATAGCACTACATTTTGTTTTAAGGTTTTATTTATTTTTGAAAGAGAAACAGGGTGAGTGGGGGAGGGGCAGAGAGCGAGGGAGACACAGAATGCGAAGCAACTCCAGGCTCTGAGCTGTCAGCACAGAGCCCGACGCGGCGACGCGGGGCTCGAACCCACGAGCTGTGAGATCCCGACCTGAGCTGAAGTCCTACGTTTAACCGACTGAGCCCCCCAGGCGCCCAGCACTACATTTTGAAAAGAGAAATCCCGAAAGCTTCCTTCTGCAGTTTTTCTGATAAGAACACTCGGGCCCCGACTTGACTTGCGTGCTCTCGCACACCCCCAGCCCCACAATCCCACGTATGGGGAAGGGGCACGTAAAACATGCCCCCGAGCCCGGAGGAAGACAGGAGGCACGCCTCGATCACTGGGCCGAGTGGCCTGGGGTGATGGGACCCTCCCCCTGCTGCAGGCAGGCTTCTGCCTCAGACCCACACGCGGCTTCCCGGGTCCACAAAGAACAAACTATGGGAGAGAGGAACACATCCAACAACGTAAGGCAAAAGCGGGCTGATTAGTAACATTAGCTGAGGTTTTTTTTGGCGCTTTGGTCCTTGTCTGTCCCAGACGTCTGTGGAGATGACGTGGGGGTGCTTCTGAAGATGGGGATGGGGCGGGCTGAGACCGTTGGGCCCAGGTGCCCCCCACGACGCCCCCCTGCTCAGCAGCCCCCCTCCCGGGTCCAGTTTCGGGCGTTGATGAAGAGCTGGAGCCAGGGGGAGGTAGTCAGAGTGTCAAAGGGAGGAGGCTGCCACGCCCACTGCCAAAGCCGCACAGCCCGCTCAGGGTGAGGCATGAGGGCCAGGTGGCGGCCATCGAGGGAGCAGACGCCAGCCACGCCCCCTGGGGACCCGTTGGGGTTCAGGGGATACTGTTCCGTGGGGTTCCCGTCGTCGTCGGCCCAGTGCAGCGGAGCCAAGCCCCTGGCCTCAATCTGGGCTTGGAGTTCCGGAGAAGAAAAAGCCATGTAACCTGGGGAGGGGGGGGTGGGGAGAGGAGGAGGGAAGTGAGATCACAGCTTCCCCTCTGGCGCCACCCCCCCCCCCCAACCCGGCCAGACCCTCCCCTGCCTTTGGGAGGCTGACCTTCGCCATGAGCGCTCCACACGGGTAGCACGGCTCCTTCCATCCCTCGAAGCATCAGGGCCGGCCCAGGACCCACCCGCACGCTGGCCCAGCGGGACTCAAAGCGCCCAGACAGGTTGTGGCGAAGCAGGAGGCCCGGCCGGGCCGGCCAGGAGTCCTGGCCCGTCCCCTCTGCCTCCTCGCTGGGGCTACCTCCCACCCAGCCCAGCAGAGCCAGCAACTGACAGCCATTACACACGCCCAGGCTGAAGGTGTCGGGCCGCTTCCGGAAACGTCTCAGTTCAGCCCCGGCTAGCGGGTGGAAGGTCACAGCAGCGGCCCACCCTAGCAGGGAACACAGAAGTCAGGGAGGGACCCGGAACGGAGGCGGATGGCTGCTTTCCGGTTCCAGCCCTGCCATGACCGCCACCCCCGCCCCTCCCCAGCACCCAAAATACACACACGTGCACGCAACTCAGGGCAAATCCAAGGGGAAGAAATAGGTTTATCTGCTTAAATCAGATGTTGCCAAGTCCTGGACCAGAGATGGCCCGTAAGTTTCTTGCCTGGCCAGCGGGGCATGTGCAACACTTTATTTCACTGCCTAACACTTAAAAATAAGATTTTTGTGGGGCGCCTGGGTGGCTCAGTTGGTTAAGTGTCCGACTTTGGCTCAGGTCATGATCTCGTGGTTCACAGGTTCGAGCCCAGAGTCAGGCTCTGTGCTGATGGCTCAGAGCCTGCAGCCTGCTTCGGATTCTGTGTCTCCCTCCCTCTCTGCCCCTCCCCTGCCCCCTAAAATAAAACATTTAAAAACAATTTTTTAAACTAAAATTTCATATAGGGGCGCCTGGGTGGCTCAGTCAGTTAAGTTGCCGACTCCTGACTTTGGCTCAGGTCATGACCTCATGGTTTGTGAGTTCAAGCCCTGAGTTGGGCTCTGTGCTGACAGCGTGGGGCTTGCTTGGGATTCTCTTTGTCTCTGTGCCTCCCCGCCACTCACATTCTGTCTCTCTCAAAAATAAATAAACGTTTTTAAAAATAACAAGATTCTGTGCAAAAAAAATCTGGATTCTTGGCTTCTCTCCAAAACAAAGACCTGGCCGTGCCGAGCCGGCTTTCTAACAGCACAATCTGCTGGTGTTGAGTGGTGCCCTTTGGTTGAGTCATGTGCCACCCAGCGCTCCCACACCTCATGTCGGTTAGCCACAGGCCTTGTGCTGGCAGCCGGCCCAGAGTCAATGTGCTCCCTCTCCCCGGACTTGGGAGGAGAGAGGCCAATTCTCGGTCAAGAAGGGAGCTAAGGCACCTCCCCGGGAATGGGCGGGGGAGGCCGTGGGCGGAAGCCTGACGCCCACCTTTGGCAGAGCCCAGGACATCCGCGTAGCTGAAGCCGCCCACGAAGGCCACGCCGCGGAACGTGTCCAGCCCGATCGCCCCAGAGCAGAGGTCCTGCATGGTCACATCCCACACCTGCCAGGACGGGGAGGGGAAGCTCAGGAGGACAAAGAGCCCGAGGCCCAGCCCCGGCCCCGCTGACGACGACGCTCACCTCGAACCCGGCCAAGTGGAAGCCGTCTGCCATCTCGCGGTCTCCGTTACTGCCCTCCTCTCGCAAGATGGCCACCCGGGGAATGGGACCACCTGGAAGGTGAAGGAGGGTCTCTGGGCCGGAGGGCTCCTTCCCCACCGCCATCCCCCCAGACGCGGCTCCGGGGCAGGCCCTGGCATCGGGCCGTGGGTTCCACCCCGGCCCAGTGTCCGGGAAGCCATGACTGTGCACACATTGCCTCACCAGGCTCTCGGGGCACGGAAGCTTTGGGGAAGCCTGGGGGCAGGCAGTAAGTGGGCCCCGTCCGCTCCCTGAGCCCCTGCTCTTCCTCCGCCACACAGCGCGGCTCGGCCTGCAGCCGGTCCAGCTGGAAACTCGTCTCCTCCCAGAGGGCTCGCAGCTGCCTCACAGACTCTTCCAGAACCACAGCCCCGTTCACGGACACTCGCACCTACGGGGAGAGGCCAGAGCGAGGACGTCCAACCTGGCCCCCCTCCCCCGGGCCGGCACAGGCGAACCGCGGCCCCCCGCGAGGCGCTGCCCGCTCCCTCACCAGGGCGTGGGGCCCAGCGTCGCCCGTGGCGCCCAGCTCCAGGCAGTGCAGGCCGGCGTCCCGGTAGCGCTTCAGCACCTGGGCCAGGTCGGGCCCCCGCACCTCCAGCACCAGGCCCGGCTCCTCGGCGAACAATGCAGGCAGTGCTGGGGGAACACAGGGGGCGGGAGGGTGACAAGGGTGCCACCGGAGATGCGGAGGTACAACCGAGGGGGGGGGGGGCGGCTAAAGGCTGAGTGAGCGCAGGCAAGGATCAGGGGTGGGGTGAGGCCTGGGAGACCATGACCAAGGATGTGGCCTCAGGGTCTCGGGAGATCTCAGATGGCAGGGGCGGGGAACTCACCTGGCTCAGTGGTCAGGGAGATGGCAAAGGACTCAGGGAACGGAGGTGGGGATGCTCCATTTTCTCACAGGACATGGGGTCTACGGGGCCCACCCTGCAGGCCACCCGGGCCCGAGTCCAGACCCCCGGCTCCTCACCATCGACCCCAGGGGCAGGCACGTCCACCTCTATCCCACAATTCCCAGCAAAGGCCATCTCTAGCAGGCAGGTGACGAGACCCCCGTCACTGACATCGTGGCCTGAGCAGAGGAGACGGTCTGGAGGAAGGAGAAAAACGCTCAGCAAGCTCAGGGCCCAAACCTGACGGCCCCGCGCCCTCACCCAGCAGGCCACGTGTGGGAACCAGAGAGAGGGGACGCCGCATCCCTCTTGCCCCAGCCTCGCCAGCTCAGCCGGGGAACGCCCGCCACGCATCCGCCACACACACACCGTCTCCGCCAGGGCCCCGCTCACCTCGAAGCAGCCCCTGCGTGATGCGGAAGGCACGCACCAGGTTCTCAGGAAGGTCCAGGTCCGGGGGCTGCTCGCCCAGCTGCGAGAAGCACTGGGCCAGGGCTGTGCCCCCCAGCCGGTGCTGCCCGGGGCTCAGAGGCACGAACAGCAGCCGGCCTGGGGAGACGGGGAAGAGGTGAGGGAGGTGAGCGGCTCAGGACTCCCCACCACACTCACGAGTGCCAAAGCGGCCGGCACGCGGACAGACCCACAGACGCCCGAACACATGACGCGGTGAGGACGGCGAAGCATCCACGTTTTACCTCTGCCCCCAGGACGCTTGAGGTCCGGCGTCACGGTGGCTGTGATGTCTGGACAGACGGCATAGGCCGAGATGACCAGCGACCCTGCAGGGCAAGGAGTGAGACAGTGAGGTGCCAGCCGCGCTCCGCAGGCCCTGCCCCGCTCTCCCCGGGACCCCCCAGGCCATACCGGGGGCCCGCACGGTCTCAGAGCCGACCCGGGCGGCCATGCTGAGGGAGTCCTTGCCACCGTCCACCGCCACACCCAAGGCCGCCATCACCGCCACCATCGCCGCGCAGGCGTCGGCCAGAGCCGCGCCCTCCCCCGGGAGCTTGGCCGCCCACATCCAGTTCCCGCTGCACTTCACATCCTGGGGAGCGGTGGACACCGGGCATTAGAGAGGGAGAGCCGCGTGGAGACCGGGCCGGGGCACAGGGACCGGGAGGTCCTGGGCACGAAGGGCAAGAGGAAAAGGTGAGAGGTGGACGGAGGTGCATCGCAGAGGCGGGCAGCCCCAGGGCAGAAGCCGCAGGGGACTCACCCGGAGGTCGGTGACCAGAGCAAACACCAGGTTGGTGAGGGCTTCGGCCACAGCCAGTCGGGCGGCAACCTTGGGGTCCAGCAGGCTTTTGACCGGCTGCTCTCCTAGAGCCGTGGCAGCCCCTACGAGCTCCTGGTGACTCAATGCCACAACCGCCACGTCGGCCAGAGGGGTCTGCAGGGGCCCAACGCACTGCTGCTGCGCCACCAGGCCGCCCACGGAGCGGTCCACCTGCGGGACCAGGCAGGGTCGGCAAGAGGCCAAGGGACAGGGACGCCGGGGCGCGGGGACACCAGGCCATCAGGGTGGCCGCCGGGCCCCGTCACTTCTCCCTTGGGCCTGTTGAGCCCCCTCGGCAATCCCAAAGAGTGGGAGGCCAGGGTGGTGAGCAGAGGGAAGGGCACGGGGGACGAGGGGCAGAGCAGGGGTGCAGGGAAACCTTGTTGGTGAGGTATCGCTTGCTGGCCACAGCAGGCAGCCTCAGGACGCGCTCCAGAGCCTGGCGCACACTCAGCCCCGGGGGCAAGGCCAGAGGACGCAGCACGGGGAGACTCCGCTGCAGGAAGAACTCCTAGGATACAGAAGGCGGCAGGGGTGTGAGCACCCGGGCACACGGGTGAGAAGGCGCACGTCGGCAAAGGGGGAGTCTGAAGAGCTGGGGTGGGGAAGGGAGACCAGCCTCCCTCCCACCCACCCACACGCACCTTCCGAGGCATCTTGCCCAGCACCCAATCCAGCTCCAGGTCCACAGGGGTCGGGGGCGAGGGGGTGTCCCCTTCGCCATTTCTTCCAACGGGACAGTCCCGATCGTCCACCAGCACGATCTACAGACCATGGGAACATGGCCCAGAGCGCACAAAACCGTGAGGCCCAGCAGGGGCCACTTCTAGAAAGCAGCGAGGTGCGCTTCCCACCCTCTGCTTGGGCTTCCCCTCGAGGGCCTGCCCGTCCCCCCCCCCCCCCCATTTCCCAGTCTGTGAGCCACCGACTCCCGCCCTCCCACTCCCCGCACCTACCCCCTGCTCCAGCCCACCCCCCGCAGCTCCGCGCCCACCCATGCGGCCAACTCACCCTCCTGTCTCCCGTAATGGTGCCCACAAAGCAAGCTGGGCAGCGCTCCCGGGCGCTGACACGACTGAGGAAGTCTCGGTCCATGGGCCTCAGCAGAAGAGCATTCGACTCCTGGTACTCGGCCCCCCAGATTTCCAGGGCGTTCAGGGTCGGGTCCCCGAGCTGCAGCCACGAGGGAGGAGGAAAGGAAGAGGTCGGTGGGCACTCTCCAGGCTCACGTTTCTGCTAGAAGATGGCGGGGGCCAGCGGGGACGGGGAGGCAGCCAGGCCCGGGGGGACAAGGCCCACCTGGAAGCGGCTGGTGTAAATGACAGCTCCAGCTGGGTCACTCAGCTCCTTCAGGACGTTGCCTGGTGAGAGGGTGCGTGGGAAGGTGGTGACCTGGCCACGGTCGGGACCCGGCCAACAGAGGACAGTGCCCGGCCTCCCCGGGAGCCCCTGATGCTGTGTGTCCCGCACGGATCACTTCCACACCCTCACCACCAACCACCCCAGGGCAGCGGGCTCCCAACGCCCCAAAGCGGAGCCTCTCCAGAAGGTACAGGGGGTGGAGGATGGGACCCGGGGCCGGGCGGCCAGTCGCAGATCCTCGATGCCCCTCTCTGAGCCGAATCTCGCAAGAGCCCGGGGCGGCCGGGACCCTTGTCCGAACCCCTTCTCTCACCATTGCCACCGGCACCCTGGTCGTGGAGGCTGCAGATGGGGTTCCCCCTGGCGGCCTCCACGCAAGCCCGGATCACACGGTTCATCTTCTGTTCCATCTCCGGGTCTCCCCGCTGCACAGCCCCAAAGTCCAGGTCACTGGAATTGTCTCCCTGCACCTGGGGGAACGCATGGCATAGCTCAGGCGAGGGGGTCCGGGAGCTCACGCCCCACCCGTGCACAGGGCCCCACAACGTCCCGGAGGCTGCATCTGAGCTACTCTCCTCACCTGCACAGACGAGGCGGCTCCACCCCCGACTCCGATCCTGTAGGCGGGACCCCCGACCTTTACAACGTCCATGCCTGAGAGGAAGGAAGACACAGTCCGAACACCGGCGTCAAGATCCCACACAAGTGTCAGCACGAGTAAGTTAAGGATACAGGGAAGCAGACAGACCGGGACAGCAATCGGTATTACAAACGCAAGTGTTCTTTGGATAAATACACTTTGAGGAATTCACGCTCCGGATTTATTCACGTAGGCGCAAAGTCACCTATGTACAAAATTAAACACTGCAGTATTATTTCTATTACCAGAGAGGAAATACTGTTGACCTTTCTTTAAAAAAATGTTTTTAATGTTTATTTTTGAAAGAGAGAGAGACAGAGTGTGAGCGGGGGAGGTGCAGAGAGGGAGACACAGAATCTGAAGCAGGCTCCCGGCTCTGAGCTGTCAGCACAGAGCCCGACATGGGGCTCAAAACGATGGACTGCCAGATCATGACCTGAGCCGAAATCGGGCGCTTAATCGACTGAGCCACCCAGGCTCCCCCTGGCCAACTGATTTTTGACAAGAGTCCCAAGACAATTCAAGAAGGTACGAATAGTCTTTTCAAAACATGGTGTTAGGACAACTGGATATCCACATATAAAAGGGAGAAGTTAGACTCCTACCTCACACTATATACAAAAATTCATTCAAAACATATCAGAAACCTAAATGTAAGAGCTAAAAGCTATAAAAATAATATATAAAAAACACAGCTGTAAATCTTTAGGACTTCCTAAATATAAGGGTTAAAAGCTATAAAAAATATTACAAGAAAACACCGCTGTAAATCTTAAGGACTTTGGCTTAGGTGATGATCTCTTAGTCGTGACATCAAAACCATAAGCAGCAAAAGAAAAAATAGATAAACCAGACTTTACCAAAATTAAAAACATTGGGGTTTCATAAGACACCATGAAGAAAGTAAAAAGACAACCCACAGAATAGGATATATTTGCAAATCATGTATCTACCCGATAAAAGTCTAGCATCTAGAATATATAAAACTCTTATAACTACACAAAAAAGACAACCCCATTTAAAAATGGACAAAGAGGGGTGCCTGGGTGGCGCAGTCGGTTAAACGTCCGACTTCAGCCAGGTCACGATCTCGTGGTCCGTGAGTTCGAGCCCCACGTCAGGCTCTGGGCTGATGGCTCAGAGCCTGGAGCCTGTTTCCGATTCTGTGTCTCCCTCTCTCTCTGCCCCTCCCCCGTTCATGCTCTGTCTCTCTCTGTCCCAAAAATAAAATAAACGTTGAGAAAAAAAAAATTTTTTTAAATGGACAAAGAAACTGGTGTAGCTGCTCTGGAAAACAGTATGGAGGTTCCTCAGAAAATGAAAAATAAAACTACCCTACGACCCAACAATTGCACGACTGGGTATTTATCCAAAGGATACAAGTGTGCTGTTTCGAAGGGACACATGCACCCCCATGTTTATAGCGGCACTATCAACGATAGCCAAAGCGTGGAAAGAGCCCAAGTGTCCAACGACAGACAAACGGATAAAGAACATGTGGTACATATAGGCAATGGAGCATTATTTGGCAGTAAAAAAGAATGAAAACTTGCCATTTGCCATAACATGGATGGAACTAGAGGGTACTATGCTCAGCGAAATTAGTCAGAGAAAGACAAGTATCATATGACTTCACTCATATGTGGAATTTAAGATACAAAACAGAAGAACATAGGGGAAGGGAAGCAAAAATAATATAAAAACAGGGAGGGGGACAAAACATAAGGGATTCTTAAATATAAAGAGTAAACTGGGGCGCCTGTGTGGCTCAGTCAGTTAAGTGTCCGACTTCGGCTCAGGTCATGGTCTCACCTTGTGGGTTCGAGCCCCATGTCGGGCTCTGTGCTGACAGCTTGGAGCCTGGAGCCTGCTTGGGATTCTGTGACTCCCTCTCTCTCTGCCCCTCCCCCACTAATGCTCTCTCACTCTCAAAAATAAATTAAAGAAAAACCATTTAAAAATAATCAAAGAAAAAGAATAAACTGAGGGCTGCTGGAGGGGTTATGGGTGGAGGATGGGCTAAATGGGCACATGGCATTAAGGAGAACACTTGTTGGGACGAGCACTGGGTGTTATACGTAGGGGATGAACCACGGGAATCTACTCCTGAAATCATTAGTGCACTATATGGTAACTAACTTGGATGTAAATTTTAAAAATTAATAAAAATAAATAAAATAAAAATGGACAAAGAGGGGTGCCTGGATGGCTCAGTAGGTTAAGTGTCTGCCTCTGGGTTTCGGCTTAGGTCATGATCTCAGTTGTGAGATCAAGCCCCACATTGGGTTCTGCGCTGGGCATAGAGCCTGCTTAGAATTCTCTCTCTTCCTCTCTGCCTCTCCCCCGTTCACACTCTGTCTCTCACAAATAAATTAATTAATTTAAAAAAGAATGACAAAGAATCCAGACAGACATTTCACCACGGAAGACATATAAACGCATATGAGGAGTGTCAACGTCATCAGTCATTAGGGAAATGCAAATCAAAACCACAACGAGACACGACTTTATGGCATGGGATGGCTAGAATCAAAAAAGATCAACAAGACGTGGTGAGGATGTGGAGAAATCAGAACCCTCTTACATTGCTTGGGGGAGTGTGAAAGGGTCCAGCTGCTTTGGAAAACAGTCTGGCCATTTTTCAAAAAGTTACACGTAGGGGCGCCTGGGTGGCTCAGTCGGTTGAGCGGCCGACTTCGGCTCAGGTCATGATTTCGCGGTCTGTGAGTTCAAGCCCCGCGTCGGGCTCTGGGCTGACGGCTCAGAGCCTGGAGCCTGTTTCAGGAGCCTGTTTCAGATTCTGTGTCTCCCTCTCTCTGACCCTCCCCTGTTCGTGCTCTGTCTCTTCCTGTCCCAAAAACGAAAATAAAAAAACGTTAAATTGTTAAAAAAAAAAAAAAAAGTTACACATAGTGACTAAGTGACCCAGCAATTCCACACCTAGTTATAAGGCTAGAGGTACGAGAACCTGTGGACACAGAAAAATGTGTACACATATATTTGGGGCACCTGGGTGGCTCCGTCAGTTGAGTGTCCGACTTCAGCTCAGGTCATGGTTTCACGGTTCGTGAGTTCGAGCCCCACATCAGGCTTCCTGCTGTCAGTGCAGAGCCCGCTTCAGATCCTCTGTTCCCCCTTCTCTGCCCCTACCCCACCTGTGCTCTCTCTCTCAAAAATAAACATTAAAAAAAAAGGAAAGAAAGAAAAACGTGTACACGTATATTTATAGCAGCACTATCAATACCAGCTGAAAAGTAGAAGAAACTCAAATGTTTACGGACTGAGGAATGGATAAACACGAAAGGTCTACATAATGGAGTATCATTTGACTGTAAAAAAAAAAAAAAAAGAGGGGCGCCTGGGTGGCTCACTCGGTTGAGCGTCCGACTTCAGCTCAGGTCACGATCTCACGGTCCGTAAGTTCGAGCCCCACGTCAGGCTCTGGGCTGATGGCTCAGAGCCTGGAGCCTGCTTCCGATTCTGTGTCTCCCTCTCTCTCTGCCCCTCCCCCGTTCATGCTCTGTCTCTGTCTCAAAAATAAATAAATGTTAAAAAAAAAAAAAAAGAAAAAAAAAGAAATATTAATACATGCTCTGGTGCAGATGAGTCTTGAAAATATGCTAAGTGAAAGATGCCAGACACAAAAGGTCACAGACCGTTTGATCCCATTTACATGAAGTATCTGGAACTGGCAAATCCACAGGGACAGAAAGTAGATTAGCAGCCGCCAGGGGCTGAGGGGGGGAAGGTGCTAAGGAGTATGGCGGTGACGACAATGTTCTGGAATTGGTAGGAATCGATGCACAGCTTTGTGAATACACTAAAAAAAAACCCACTGATGTGGTTAAAAGGGTGACCTTTATGATACACAAATTACATCTCTATTTTATTAAAAAATTGAAGTGTGTGCATATGTTCCTTATCTAAAAAAAGGGACAAACATACATATAGGCCTGTTTTCTTTCCCCCCCCCTTTTTTTTAAATGTTTATTTATTTCTGAGAGAGAGAGACAGAGCGGGAACAGACAAGGGGCGGAGAGACAGAATCGGAAGCAGGCTCCAGGCTCTGGGCTGTCAGCACAGAGCCCAACGAGGGACTCGAACTCATAAACCATGAGATCATGACCTGAGCCGAAGTCGGACGCTTAACCCGACTGAGCATACCAGGTGCCCCCATATAGGTCTGTTTTCTTAAACGAGTTTTTTCCTTTTAGCACGCATGAGTGGAGGGGCAGAGAGAGGGAGAGAGGGAATCCCAAGCAGGCTCCACGCTCGGCATTGAGCCCGACGCGAGGCTCAGTCTCACGAACTGTGAAAACATAACCTGAGCCGAAATCAAAAGTCAGGTGCTTAACCGACTGAGTCACCAGGGCGCCCCAAGTCTGTTTATATATGCTGGAAATATCTCCAGTAAGGTATGCAAGTAACTGGTTAACAGTGATTATCTCTAGGGAGAGAAACATGGTGGCTGGAGGTCAAGGGAAGGACAGTTTTTTTGCTGTATAACCTTGTTTGCCTCTTAAATTCTGAACCATGTGACGGGGTCACCTATTCAATACACGGGGAGGGAGGCAAACCGTAAGAGACTCTTAAATGCAGAGAACAAACTGAGGGTTGATGGGTGTGGGGAAAATGCGTGGTGGGCACGGAGGAGGGCACTTGTTGGGATGAGCATTGGGTGCCGTATATAAGCGATGAATCACTGGGTTCCACTCCTGAAGCCAAGGCTATAGTGTCTGTTAAATAACTTGAGAATAAGAAAAAAAAAATACGTGCGTGTGTGTATAAATAAATAATAAACACATAAAAACGAACCCTAGCGTAGCCTCCAAATTCCCCTCCAGCAGCTGCTGGGTGCTGCGGACAAAGCCGGCTGGATATGGAGAAGGGGGGTGGGCTTTTACCTGGCTCTGGGGGCTCCTTGCTCACATGCTCAGCCTCCATGGACCCAATGCCCCCACTAAACATGATGGGTTTGATCCACTCACGCCGCTGGCCGTCCGGGAGCTGGAGGCCCAAGGAGCGGGCGAAGCCTGGAGTGTGGACACCAGACAGTGGGGACAGAGGCCAGTCAGTACCGCCCCCCACAACCCAGCGCTCACTCAGTCATTCACCCCACCCCACCTCTCGTACTAGGTGTCCATTAACCCCCACGCCCCCAGCCTCACCGGCCAGCACTGGCTCCCCGAACTTGTTGCCGTAATCAGAAGCCCCATTACTGGCCTCAATGGCGACCTCCAGGGGTCGGGCAAAGTTCTCAGGATACTGGAAGCTTGGGTCCTCCCAGGGCAAATTGTAACCTGGAAGGAAAGGGGAAGGTTGGCTGTAAAGACAGAAAACAGGGGCGCCTGGGTGGCTCAGTCGGTTAAGCGGCCGACTTCGGCTCAGGTCATGATCTTGCGGTCCGTGAGTTCTAGCCCCGCGTCGGGCTCTGTGCTGACAGCTCAGAGCCTGGAGCCTGCTTCAGATTCTGTGTCTCCCTCTCTCTGACCTTCCCCTGTTCATGCTCTGTCTCTCCCTGTCTCAAAAATAAATAAACGTTTAAAAAAAAAAAAAAAAAGACAGAGGCGCCAGGGTCCTTTGGGAAGAGTCTAATCCACCAAGGACCGCCCATGTGGGTGGAGTGTCCCGCTTCTGGAAGTTCTACTTCAAGGAGGTGTAGAGCCTGTGATTAAGCACCAATCTTGTTCCCCACCTCCCACACCAGCCTTGGGATCAGAGTTCTTAGTGCTCTCTAAGAAATTAGACTTTGGGGGCAGGTGGTGATCATTAAGACTGACCCAACACCATGTTTCGTTGCTGAGCAGATGCTATTTCATAAAGCAAATTGCAGGAGGCGCCTGGGTGGCTCAGTCGGTTAAGCATCAGACTCTTGGTTTTGGCTCAGGCCATGATTCCATGAGCTGTGAGTTGGGCTCTGTGCTGAGAGTGCGGAGCCTGCTTGGGATTCTCTCTCTCTCTCCGTCTCTCTCTGCCCTCCCCCACTCATGCTTGCGCTCTCTCTCAAAACATAAATAAACTTAAAAAAAAAGAAAGAACGTTGCAGTTCTGCAAAGCCTATCTGGGCACCTGGGTCTCCCCTGGGCTTAAGAGTCCTCACGGCCACAGTCGGTGAAAGGCCAGCTACACTGGAGCCCTGCCTCCCAAGAAAAGGCACCCAGGATGACCTTAAGAAACAGAGGTGCTCCAGGCCTGCCGGGACAGGGAAGGGACGGCAGGGAGCAAGGAGGCAGGACCTGGAATGTGCAGGTTTCCAAAACAGTAGCCAGCAGTCCCAGCCACCACGTGGGCACCACGGCCCGTGCACTGGACATCTCGGATCCGGCCGCCGGTGCCTGTGGTCGCCCCACTGAAGGGGGCTACTCCTGTAAAGAGACAGGGGAGAGGTATGGGTACCACAGAGAGAGACCCCAGCCCTGCCCATCCCATTAAAACTCAGGACAACCAGCCTGTCTGTTTTCCCAGACCCAGCCGAGGACCTTCACTCTACCCTACACTCTGAGCTCCCTCACCTGTCCCCGGGACCCAGCTCACCTGTGGGGAAGTTGTGGGTTTCCGCCGTGAAGACGACATGTCTCAGCGCCCGCTGCTGCCGGAAGCAGCTTGGTCGCGTGGGGTCCTCGGGCTGTAGGAATCGGACCTCCTTCCCTTGGATTGCGCTGTGGACACATTGGTTCTGGACCTTGCTTCCTTCCTGGGGTCTGCGCTTACCCCGTGAAGGCTTGGGGCCTCCCCTCTCCTGGACCCTAGGCCAGCCTAGGACCCAGCCCACCTGCTGTTGTCACAGAACTTGAGGACGTTGTTGGGGTTCGAGGACGCCTGAGTGCTCATGATGGCCTCAAACAGGGAGTGCGTCATCTCCTGCCCATCCATGTGGAGCTGGCCCTTGAAGAACCAGTGTCGGCTGTGCTCGCTGCAGGGGTGACGGGGGAGCAGGGGGAAGGCCGGCAGAAACACGGGTCACGTCGCACACCGTGCCGGCTCTCCCCACCAGCATCAGCAACTGTTATGGTACAGCCAGCTCTCACTCAGATGACAGGTCACACCAGATTCCCAAGCCCACAAGCCTCAAACGTTCTTTCACTGTGGACCACTCAGACTCAAAGTGAACAGGGTGTCAAGACGTGAATGGAGACGACTGCATGGACATGGAGCCCGGGCCCCCAGACAGACTCGGGGACGCCCCCGTGCCAAAAGACAGCCGTGAAGGCGAGTCCCTGCGCCCTCCCCTTCCAACCTCCACGGGCTCAGACATCAGGATGGCCCCCATTCCTTCCCACCTATTGGACTGAGCCAGGTCGAAGGCCTCCACGGTGCTGGGGTTCCGCTTTAGCTCCTGGAAGCGTTTGGTGTAGAAATCCAGGTCCCAGGAGTCTAGGGCCAGGCCTAGGAGACAACCACGGGAAGAGCGGACGGTGGGGTGCAGGCCCCCACTGTCACGGGTCCCGGCATCCCGACTGGCCTCGGCTGGGCCTGCCTCCCGGGCACCCCTGCTCACCTAGCTCCCGGTTGGCTTTTTCCAGGGCACGCCGGCCCTCTGCCAGGATGTCGATCCGGCCGTTGAGAGGTGCTGACACGCTCCGAAGGGAGAAGCTCTGGATGGGCTGCGGGAAGTGCTGCTCCGTCATCCGGTCATGCAGGGTAGCCAGAGCCAGGGTCTTCGTCTCAGAGGAAGGGGGCTTGGCAAACTAGGGGCGGAGACACACGCAGAGGGCAGGGGGCGGAGAGCTGAAGAGTGGACAAAATGGTGCACCCCGGTCCTCTAAGTCACGCAGGGCCAGCCCACTGCTGTCTCCGTGGTGCCCGTGTTCTGATTAGAACAACACGCCCTTGCCAGGCACGAGTCCGCGTAAGGGGCGCACAGGCTGGACTTCTGTCCCGTTCAGCCCTCGACCAGGTAGCCTCAGGCAGTGAACAACTTGCAAACAGGACAGGCCTAAAGCCAAGAGCTCCTCCCCGTTTCTACCCGTTTCTCCTTTACTATCTCTGTAAAGTTCAGGACCTCATCTCTTTATCTCGGGCCTCACCGAGAGCAGGTAGCGCCGGGTAGTCTCCACGCGATCCACGGCCCCCAGCCCCGCAGCCCAGCACACGGACACGACGTTGGTAGAGGCTGGGGTGGAGAAGTTCAGCCTGAGGAGTGGGCCGGATGGTTAGGACCCCAGAGCCCCCGGTTTCAGTGGCTTTCCGGGCGGGGTGTGGCGTTCCGGGCAGGGAGTAGGACGGAACGAAGGAAGTACAGATCCGCCAAGGATCGAGATGGGAGGAAAGAGAGGAATGGAAGCAGAAGGGGTGGGCAGTGTGCCTGCAAGGGAGGAATGCCCGAGAACATGGAATGGATCGCCCTGGGCTGAGACACTTGCCTGGGCCCAACCTCCAGCAGTAGGTCGCTGGAGTCAGAACGGAGCCAGGACTCCTGGGCAACATCACCCGGTAACAAGGGGCAGCCAAAGAGCCACGTGAGCTTCTTCATCTCCTCGGCGCTTGGGAGGGAGTCCGCTGCACGGAGGGACAGGGCAAGGATACCTTGAGACACGGCCCCTGGCCTGGTAGACCTCCCCCAAGAATCCGATACTTGGCCCAACCTGTCCAGTTCACGTTGTAGCACAGCTCGGTCTTGACAGCCTGCAGCTCTGGCAATTTCCCTTGCAGCTTCCTCCGAGTGTGTCCAGAGGCTGCCCTCTCATGGCCAGAGGGACGGACATAGAAGTGAAGGACTGAGGGCATCTCTGCAGGTGTCCCGTACTGGAGAGAGGAGTTAGGTTCCTAAAAAGTAACACCCACTATAACCTGTCAAACTGATTTCACATTCCAAAGACAGATGAGGCTTTGGAGGCGTTAGGGATGGGGTGGGGGAGAGAGGGGCATTTTCAGAGGTACTCTGAAAAACGGAAGCTTGGGGGTCTTAATTAACCCTGCAAAATGTAGGAACAGGTACATTCTCGACACATGCTCCTTGCCGGGCCCCCACGCACGGTCTTAGAAACCATTTCCGCCCTTGTAGAGATTACATTTTATTGAGGGCGACAGGCAAGGACCCAAACGTTTCCAGGCCACTGTGGTTAGGGCCAAGAGACTGTGGGTACCAACCTAGCACTTTAGGAATTAAGAAAGACTTGCGGGGAAAAATAGCATCTAAGTGTAAATCTATAGGATGAGCCGGACTGGGCCCAGCTGGTGAAGTCAGATGACACCATCCTTCTGACACTCCTCTGCCTTCTGAGGCACCTGCTGGGAACCTGTCCTTCATTCTCTTCCCTCTACATGCTCTTCCTAAGTGACTTTTGCAGACTCGTGGCTTTAAATACCGTCTGGTAGACTGAGCAACTGAAAATGCCAGCATTCAACCATTTCTTTTAACCAAAAATGGCAATTTCATATTATTTGAGTTGCCATCTGCCAACAGATTCCCTAACCTAACTCAATCTTGACTCTCCCTGAAACGCCAAAGCAGTACGTTAAAATGCTCACATGACTGGGGTGCTCAGCTGGCTGAGTCAGTGGAGCGTGCAACTCTTTACCGCAAGTTGTGAGTTCGAGTTCCACGTGGGGTGGAGAGATTACGTCAAGATAAAATCTTTGAAATATAATAATAAAATGCGGGGCGGCTGGGTGGCTCAGTCGGTTGAGCGTCTGACTTCGGCTCAGGTCATGATCTCACGATCCGTGGGTTCGAGCCCCACGTCGGGCTCTGTGCTGACAGCTCAGAGCCTGGAGCCTGCTTCCGATTCTGGGTCTCCCTCTCTCTCTGCCCTCTCCCACTCATGCTGTCTCTGTCTCCCAAAAATAAACATTAAAAAAATTTAAAAAATAAAAAGAAAAGAAAATATAATAATAAAATGAAATGCTTATGTGACATCTCCACGTAGATGTGCCATAAACACAGATGACTGTCTGTTTTGGCCAAAACACAAATTTTGAGGGGCGCCTGGGTGGCTCAGTCGGTTAAGCGTCCGACTTCGGCTCAGGTCACGATCTCGCTGTCCGTGAGTTCGAGCCCCGCGTCGGGCTCTGGGCTGATGGCTCGGAGCCTGGAGCCTGCTTCCGATTCTGTGTCTCCCTCTCTCTCTGCCCCTCTTTCTTTGTCTCAAAAAAACCTGCTATGCTCCCAGTTTCTCCCTCCGGTCAACACTAACAAACCAGCTGCTCAAGCCAAAAATACAGTCTACCTTAATTCTTCTTTCTCTGAGCCCTCTCTGTATACCCCATCTGCCAGCGAAGCCATTTCCAAACATATCCCCGGATCTGTCCACACCCTTCCATCCCTGTTACTGTCTGTCACTACGATCACTCACTTGGGACCTCCTGAATAGCACCCCAATCCCACTCCCGCCCCAGCCACCAGCCACTTGGCATATTTCAACATAAATGAGATCATGGCTTCTCATCACATGTGGTAAAACCTTCCAACCCAGTACCTGGCTTTCCTAGTCTGGCCACTGCCCACAACTCCAACCCTATCTTACGCCACACTCTTTTTCATCCACAAGGCCCCACCACACTGGCTTCTCTTCTGTTTCTCTTAACTTGTCAATCTCAGTTCTGGAAGGTATTTTTCTCACGTGGATATTTGCACAGCTAGCACTTTTGTGACTTAGGTTCCTGGTGAAATCACCTTCTTGGAAGGGACTTCCTTGATCCACCCTTCTGAACTAGCCCCTCTCAGACAGCCCTGTTTTATTTAATTAATTTAGGTTGTTTTTCAAGTCTATTTATTTTGAGAGAGAGAGAGAGAGAGAGAGAGAGAGAGAGAGGGAGGGCGAGTATCCCAAGCAGGCTCTGGTGGTATCAGCACAGAGCTGGATGTGGGGCTCAAACTCACGAACCTTGAGATCATGACCTGGGCTGAAATCAAGAGTTGGACACTTCACCGACGAAGCCACCCAGGAAAGCCTAATTTAATGTTTAATATTTGCATATAATTAGTCATAATTAAAGTTAATTACAACTAATGTAAATTTAATTAATTATAAAATATAAGCTTTAGAATTATATATGATTAACTTAAATGATTAATTTTTTTTTAATTTTTTTTAACATTTATTTATTTTTGAGAGACAGAGTATGAGCAGGGGAGGGGCAGAGAGAGAGGGAGACACAGAATTCCAAGCAGGCTCCGGGCTCCGAGCTGTCAGCACAGAGCCCGACGCGGGGCCTGAACCCACACACTGCGAGATCATGACCTGAGCCGAAGTCGGACACTTAACCAACTGAGCCACCCAGGCGCCCCTTAAATGATTATTAATCCAGTGCTTATCAGTACCTGACATTTTAATTCATTTTAAGCTCTACCTGCCCCACTAGCCCAAAATCTCCATTCGGGCCAGGCCTCATTTCCGTGAACGATGATGCTCCTGACCGATCAGTCTCGATCCCCGCCTTTCTCAGCGCTCCCCACCCGCTTCTGATCACCCTTTTCTGAAGCTGGGCCCCCTCCCAGTTGTCCTTTATACCGTCCTTCCTATAGGAATTATCACACGTGAGCCATCTGACTTTCGTCTATCCCTCCGTAAACAGAAGCCCCAAGGGCTCAGGGACAGGGTTGCCCACGGCAGGGCTGCATCCCCAACGGCTAGCATGACATAATCGAGGAGGTCCCAGGCTTTGCGTTGGCCAAGCGCTCCGGGCGAGAGGGGCTGAGAGTACGCGGGGAGTCTGCCCTGCCGCGCGGCTCGGGAAGGCGCGCAAGGACGCACGAATGCGCCGCAGCTGGACACAGCTGGGCCGGGCCCGCTAGGGACACGGACGCGGCCTGAGTCAGACCTGGAGAGGGTGGCGAAAGGGTGTGGCAAACAAGGTGTCAGGACTGAAGCGTGATAGCCATACGCACGTGGAATCCACGATCCCGGGTCCAGAGGTTCTCGAAAGCTAGCCCGCGTGTGGAGCCCGGAAGAGGCGGGGCCGCCGAGCAACTTCCGGTACCTCCCCCCCCCGCCCCCCGCCCCCCTCCAGCTTGTGTAGCTCAGTAATGGGCTGAGTTCTTGGTTTTGGGGGTTTTGTTTTTGTTTTTGTTTTTGTTTTTGTTTTTGTTTTTGTTTTTGTTTTTGTTTTTGTTTTTTTTCGAAATACGGTAGGTCCCATGGCCTGCCCTCCCCGGTGCCCGTATAAACTGTGACGGAGACAGGAACTTTGAATGCAGGAAACGGAACGAGAAGCATCGTCCTTGTCCAGGACTCAGTTTCCCTCTCCCTCCTACTTTGGCTTTTTTCCACTTTTTTCTTTAATAAATGAATAGATTTATTTAATTCTTAGCAGAGTGGGAGGCCTACATTTTTAATTTCCACACTCTCGCCAGTGACAGTAACAATGACAACGATAGGAAGACATTCACTAAACGCCCGTTAAGGCACTTGACAGGATCTCGTTTGATCTTCACAAAAACCCTTGGTGTACAGATGTGGGAGCTGAGGTTCCTCGCAACGACTTGTCACCTGGTTTTGCCACTTGGCACTTTCTACCTATGTACACATTTTTTTGTGCATTTTTTTAAACCCTCGTAATACATAGATACATGGTTTGTGTCAGTGAGGATCCTATCAGAATATGGATGGCACACTCGAAAATGGCTAACAACAGCAATTCAATAGAGTCTTTTTAATGAATCTTTAACAGAGAAATGCTCCGAGTAAAAGGTGAAAGTCTTGATCCTCATCTGTTTCCTTATTTATTCCCCTCTGCTATACAGGGGCCAAGAGGAAGGTAAGGCAAGTGAGTACCTGGGTGCAAAACTTATGGAGATACTTCAAATGTTCATTCACCCTAATTCCAGCCATGCCCCAGATATAATAGTTGCTACCTGTTTGATGTGTAAAGTTCCAGGTTATTGAAATGAGTTTTCTCAGGGCTCACTTCTGACAGAGGTCATGTATTAATCTTTTGACATCTGAGCACCTCTTGGTTTCTTTCCCTTTAGGCGCTCCTTGGCTCCACCCAGTACGTACCTTCCAGAGCCTTCCAGGAGCCTTAGTTTGCTCAGCTCTCTCTCTGATCCTATTTACTTCACATTTTCTTGTGTGTGTGTGTGTGTGTTTTTAAGTAGGCTTCTTGCCCAACGTGGAGCTTGAACTGACAACCCTGGGATGAAGAGTCACCTCTCTACCAACTGTGCTAGCCAGACACCTCTCCCCAACATTTTAGTATTCCCAGTGTATCGTAAGTTTTCAGCTTTCACCTCCATATAGTGACTTCCAGACTTATCCTTTAGGCCCTAATCCCTCTCCTGACTTTGGTCCCATATATCCAGCTGCCCCTTGGACAAGAATAGCCTGTTCAAAATCACCAGGTCTAGAGGACAGCACCACACTTCCTTCCCTGTGTGACGGACCAACCACTCTTCTCCATGCTTCCCTAACATCTTCCCCTCTCCCACCCTTTTCCTTTAAGATGCTTATTAAATCAAGCATGATCTATTTCAGTGTCCTGTTATTCTCTTGTGCCCTTCTCATTTGGTTTTTGCATGCTGCCGCTAGATTAGCGTGACATTTATAATTTTTTTTCAACGTTTATTTATTTTTGGGACAGAGAGAGACAGAGCATGAACGGGGGAGGGGCAGAGAGAGAGGGAGACACAGAATCGGAAACAGGCTCCAGGCTCCGAGCCATCAGCCCAGAACCCGACGCGGGGCTCGAACTCACGGACCGCGAGATCGTGACCTGGCTGAAGTCGGACGCTTAACCGACTGCGCCACCCAGGCGCCCCTTAGCGTGACATTTAAATGACACCAGTG